TTCTTGCCAAGATAGGCCTCGGCAATTTCCTAAACAAAAGACAAGTAAACTTTGTTTAACAGAGAGTAGGAAAAATTATTAAAAGGATGATTTTACAAAGTGACTTAATTACCATAAAGATTGTATTTGAAGTAGCTAACCAGAAGTACTGACTGGCAAAATAGAAAAAGCCTGCTTCATCAGAGTCCTATAACTTTGTAACAAGCAACAAACAGGAGTTTTGAATCAAGACAAACACTCTGCTGGATGAAAAGGATATCTAAAGTTGGTGCCTGCCATTTTCCACGGGGACACTTATGCTGTCTTTACACTCAAGCGTTTTCCAAGGTAAATATTAACTGACTAAACCATGGTACATTTGTACAGTGTTTATACGGGCTCTGCTGGATGAAAAGGATATCCAAAGTTGGTGCCTGCCATTTTCCACTCTATGTGATGGGGACATTTAGGGCTGATCCTAGGGTCCCAATATAATAGCAGATAGCTCATTTTGCAATACAATTTTAATGAATTTACTTTTATTCAAACTTGTTGCATTTATTCAAACACCTGAAAATTCCAAATGAAGCTTTATTTCCCTGGAATTGAACCCTAGGGGACTGCACCTAAGTTTAAAAAGAGAAACAAAATTTGTGTTCGTGTGTCTACGACCTCCATTAGGCGGTTGCGATTAGGTCACATTGGCAAATTTCATGTTGTGATCATCCAGGGATGGTAAAAGAATGCATCACCAAGTGTACTGCTCATGCAGAATTACTTTTTTTGCCTTTTCGTTGCCATTGCCGTCCTCCCTGCTTAAGGTCCTTAGTATCTGTCTTGATGGAGTCGACTATAAACGACTGGACAACAAGACCAAGCGAGAAAATTGCATGTTTTAATGACTATCTATTTTACCTCAAACAAATGCAGCCAAAAGTGGTGTATGAATTATTCACATTAAATCTGGCAAACTAATCAGTTGAACCAACATGATAAAATTTTTATTTTTTGTTTACAGAAACTTTTGCATCACTACCTGCTCTGAGACTGTAAGTACTGCAATTGACATACAGCACCAGCAAGTTAATTCAAAATATAATTCAAGATGTAACCTCTTTCAATAATCCGTTTCTTAGCTCAACAGGGGCACCCAACGACAATTTTCGGAAAATATCTGTTCGGAAGACGATTTGAGATCTAGAATTTTCGGAGCATTTGTTGTAAAATTTCTTGCTTGCCATCCTCTCCTAGGATTTTCGAACATCTAAAAAATGGTATAATTACCCATTTTTAACGGATTTTTTACTCATAAAAGGTCACCTAGAATTTTCGGGAGCCTTTTTTCTGGCTGAAATTTTCGAAAAGGTAGCTTTTGATCCCTATAATTTTCGGATCACTAGACTTCCAACTAGGAAATCCGAACAGATGAAAAACTTTAGGGGATAAAAATATACCTATATCTACCGTTTAAATACTAAACTACATTTAACAAGGCTATGTTTAAGCGGTTTTGAATTATATTCTCGTTGGGTGCCCCTGAAAGGACCTCTGCAAAACTAATCGTTATAAGTAAAATTTGTTTTATCTTACCTTCATTTTACTCAAAACCATGGCGCTAATCTCTTCAGCAGCAAAAGTCTTGTGTTCTCCTTTCACGTTTACACGAACATGGGGCTTCTTGTTCTTTTCGATTACTTTAAAGGGAAAAAACTCCAAATCCTTTTGAACCGATTTATCGTCCCATGTTCTACCAATCAAGCGTTTGGCATCAAAAATAGTGTTTTCTGGATTCGTGGTCAGCTGATTTTTTGCTCCATCACCAATCAATCGTTCCCCTTCTGGAGTGAAAGCCACGTAAGATGGAGTGATTCGGTTTCCTTGGTCGTTTGCAATGATTTTAACTCGTCCATTCTTGAAAACACCAACACTGTAAAAGACACAGAACTCCTCAAGTTTAATAAAAAATAATCGAGTTAAATAGCGATGCAGAAAATTTAAAGAGCAGCCATCACCGGCAAAATGCAAATAATCTAATTATAACCAAGTTTGAAATGGTGGATCTCACTTCAAGTCAGACAAACCAAAGAAAATATGGATTTTATTTCACCGAGTGTCAAAGAAACAATCTAAATCGTCTTTAACTGGTAAATAAAACGCTGTGGCTATATGGCTGCTAACCGGTCAAGGTTTTCAAAACACTAAATGACGCGGCGGCAGTCCGGTATTTTAAATAAATTTGACCTATCTAAGAATCCCAACAAATCCAAACTATCATATGTCAATTATGAAAAGTCAAGCGATCCTAAAATGCTTTATAAATCTCAAGTCTATAGCGTTTGGTTTCGATGGGCTCAGAAAACAAAACCATGTTTTGTGACACTTAGAATTTTCCGGGTCGACTGCCGGTCAAGATTGTCAAAACACTCAATGACCGCCAGTCTACCCTGCTAGCAGAGTCCTTCGATCTTTCCTAGATAAGTCGGGAAAGGAGAAAGAGGAAAGAGGAAAGAGGAAGCTGAAAAAAGTTCCGCCAAGTGTCACGAAACATGGTTTCGTTTTCTGAGCTCAGCGTAAGCCAAAGGCTAAACTTGAGATCTATAAAGCGTTTCAGGATCGCTTGACTTTTCTTAATCGACATATGATAGTTTGGGTTGGTTGGGATTCTTGGATAAGTCAAATTTATTGAAAACCTTGAAAACCTTGACCGCTTACCGGCCTTGTGGCCACAGCGTAAATAAAATGATTTGCACGCGAAAAGAAGCTATGATTAGGGTAGGAAGCGAAGCCCCACGTTTAAAGAATTTGGGGTTAATTCTATTTATAAATACGCTTCTACTACACGGCTTAAATCTAAGACCTTCGCTCTGCAATATCTGTGCCAAAAATCATCTAAATTGTCTCAAAAACCTCATGGTCGAAAGCTTATTTCTTTCCTTAGCTTTTCTTTCTTCTTTTGATCAGCGGCTTTTATTTGACCATAAACAACTATGTATTTCACCACTCGAACTTTCCGAACATTATGAGCCCGGGAATCACAGTAAAAACCAGCGGTTAAAACCATTGCGAAACAGTCTGACATGACTGTAAGTCGCGCAGAATTTGACGTACGAGATACTCTGGACATGGGTACATGGGTACCGGTTGAACAAATTGATGTGTACTTACCAAGAATACGTCGTTCCAAGATCGATACCGATTACAGTTCCTACATCTTTTTTATCAGCTTTTTCATCTTTCTTGTCTTCACCACTAACTAGGAGTAAACTGCTGGCTAGGGCCAGAGCACAAAATGTGCAAATCGACTTCATAATGAAAATCCGTCCTATAATTTCTTACAGAAAAACCGGTGACAATCTCCACTAACAAGAACACTACAGTAAAATTCTTGACGAAAAGTTCTCGAGCCGGTTGATATTTCGCTCGCTACCACGCGTGTAGCTCGCTGATTGGACAGCCTTCTTCACGCAGGCCGATTCTGATTGGTCCACGCTACACGATTTCGTCATTTTCACTCCGCTTTTCTCGGATGTCGTGTCAACTTTTGAGATCGCCACCGCTTGGCAAATTCTTCATTTCCGGTTACTAGAATCAGCCCTTCCATAAATAGCGTGAAAATTGGGTGAATTATGGTGCTAATATAACACTATTACATACATTTTATATTTTTTGAGAGCGTCCAGTGCATTTTTTGGCATGAAATAGCCTAAAATCCTGTTGCAAAGATTACGTTGTTTTCATGACAAGATTACGTTTTCGTTTACGGTCGAACTGCTTCGTGTAACTTTGGTGGAAGTTGGCCATGGGCCACCTCGTTTTCACACGAGCTCAGCAACCACGAGGTTAGCCTGCGTAGCTGGCGGTATTGTGTGGGTGCGAGATAAAAGTTTTGGCGGCGGAGCCGTGTTCCAAAAAAAAGGAGTAGGGACGAGGCGGTTGAAATACCGCCTGCCAGAAAACCCCGGTATTTTGAATGGTCCGCACACCAGTGTGCGGGGAAACGGATTGGTCGAGGGCCATACATATGTCAATCATGTTAGATGAGCCTTCGCGTATATTTCCCAATTTAGGGAGCAGATGGCAAACTGGAGAAGACGTACATGTAAAGTGATTGTGATTTCCGCTTTAGAAAGAGCATAATTGATGACCAAATTGCCGAAATGGCGTCTTTAAACTTCACAGCGCTGGAATTGTCTTAATTTAGCCGTAAGAAACAAAGGTCAAAGAAAATTAAAACACTTTACAACTGCATCTGAGATCAAATCCTATCAGGAACACCTACAGAAGAATAAACCACCGGAAATGGTTACTCAGTATGCATGTAACAAACCAGCTTCATGACCTTTTAATGTTAAGCCTAGTGTTGCAAAAAAAGATTTACTCAGTCAAAGTTTAGAATGATACATGCACTGTGTAGTGCTAGTAACCTTCGAGCGAGAGCCGAGAAAATAAAAAAAAACCTCTGTTCAAGCAAACTCACAAGGTCACGTTTCACATTGTCACGAGCTTAGGAGTCGTGTTTAGCCTGTCAACGCTTATTTCTAAACTGTCTCGCGCGAAAATAATCGGAAGTTTCAAATTGCAGGTTACTCTTTGATTGGCTGATTTAATTGGGATCAGCTAACGTGACAAAAGTGGGCGGCATTCGAAAAATCATGGTTCTCTGGCAGGCGGTATTTCTCCCGGTTCCGCCGTCAAATCTCACTCGGCTATATTACAACGGCTCCGCCGCCAAATCTCACTCGGCTACTACACAATACCGCCAGCTACGCAGGCTACCACGAGGTCAGCAGAGAGTTTTGCTGAGGAGTGTTGGTGGTTCTCTGTTGCAGAGGTATGGAGATGTCCTTTTCATTAGCTTTTTCAATACTCAGTCCTCAGAGACTGTGTTCGTCGAAAGACGTTGAAGTCTTAAAAGTACATAAACATAAGTTTATGCTCTTTAGCTTTGCAATAATATCTGTTGGATACAAACTCAACTGTAACCGAAAATTAGTTACCGGAAGTGCATGTAGGAGATTGTAACACTAGAGGCTGATTGCACTATATTGCATCAGCCCACATCATGGTGAACGTTGTGGAAGAATCCAGGGCTGCAAATTTATAATGAGTGGAGTCCCTGTGACTGCTGCTTCACAAATTTTGGCGTCATTTTGGAATATTTGGAGTCAAGTATCGCAACGAAAAAAAAACATTTTCAGACTTTCCAGCGCGTGTTCCTGTCATGTATACACTAGGGACTTTTAGCACCGACGGTTTTCAGGACGGCTACGGCGAACTAGATCGCGCGGGGACTGGGGATACAAGGCGCCGTCCGCGCAAAAGCCCGCGAAAATAAATATACTTTAGCAACCAAAACAATCCCTGAGTACGGCGTGAACGAAATAGTCGGAGAGACTCGGACACAAAACTAAATGTTTAGGGAAAAATGTCCCTAAAGAAGGTTCGAGAACAGTTGCTCTATGCATTAGATGAAAGGTTAATTACAGAAGAGGAGTTTCTACTCCTGTATGATGTGAACTAACTTAGATTTTCCTTACGAGCAGTACAAACTTTTTGATCTCGACGACATGCAAAGAATATACAGCCCGTTATCACGTCTAGCAACTTATATGAGCACGTTTAAATGCTTCTCGCCTTTTATTTTGATGCCCGACCTGAAGCTGAACACCATTATATATCAAAATTAAAGCAGCCATAGGCAAAAAAGGCATGTTTTGTCTAGTTATAAAAAAGATATATATTCGGATTCTCCTTTCACGTTTACACGAACATGGGGCTTCTTGTTCTTTTCGATTACTTTAAAGGGAAAAAACTCCAAATCCTTTTGAACCGATTTATCGTCCCATGTTCTACCAATCAAGCGTTTGGCATCAAAAATAGTGTTTTCTGGATTCGTGGTCAGCTGATTTTTTGCTCCATCACCAATCAATCGTTCTCCTTCTGGAGTGAAAGCCACGTAAGATGGAGTGATTCGGTTTCCTTGGTCGTTTGCAATGATTTTAACTCGTCCATTCTTGAAAACACCAACACTGTAAAAGACACAGAACTCCTCAAGTTTAATAAAAAATAATCGAGTTAAATAGCGATGCAGAAAATTTAAAGAGCAGCCATCACCGGCAAAATGCAAATAATCTAATTATAACCAAGTTTGAAATGGTGGATCTCACTTCAAGTCAGACAAACCAAAGAAAATATGGATTTTATTTCACCGAGTGTCAAAGAAACAATCTAAATCGTCTTTAACTGGTAAATAAAACGCTGTGGCTATATGGCTGCTAACCGGTCAAGGTTTTCAAAACACTAAATGACGCGGCGGCAGTCCGGTATTTTAAATAAATTTGACCTATCTAAGAATCCCAACAAATCCAAACTATCATATGTCAATTATGAAAAGTCAAGCGATCCTAAAATGCTTTATAAATCTCAAGTCTATAGCGTTTGGTTTCGATGGGCTCAGAAAACAAAACCATGTTTTGTGACACTTAGAATTTTCCGGGTCGACTGCCGGTCAAGATTGTCAAAACACTCAATGACCGCCAGTCTACCCTGCTAGCAGAGTCCTTCGATCTTTCCTAGATAAGTCGGGAAAGGAGAAAGAGGAAAGAGGAAAGAGGAAGCTGAAAAAAGTTCCGCCAAGTGTCACGAAACATGGTTTCGTTTTCTGAGCTCAGCGTAAGCCAAAGGCTAAACTTGAGATCTATAAAGCGTTTCAGGATCGCTTGACTTTTCTTAATCGACATATGATAGTTTGGGTTGGTTGGGATTCTTGGATAAGTCAAATTTATTGAAAACCTTGAAAACCTTGACCGCTTACCGGCCTTGTGGCCACAGCGTAAATAAAATGATTTGCACGCGAAAAGAAGCTATGATTAGGGTAGGAAGCGAAGCCCCACGTTTAAAGAATTTGGGGTTAATTCTATTTATAAATACGCTTCTACTACACGGCTTAAATCTAAGACCTTCGCTCTGCAATATCTGTGCCAAAAATCATCTAAATTGTCTCAAAAACCTCATGGTCGAAAGCTTATTTCTTTCCTTAGCTTTTCTTTCTTCTTTTGATCAGCGGCTTTTATTTGACCATAAACAACTATGTATTTCACCACTCGAACTTTCCGAACATTATGAGCCCGGGAATCACAGTAAAAACCAGCGGTTAAAACCATTGCGAAACAGTCTGACATGACTGTAAGTCGCGCAGAATTTGACGTACGAGATACTCTGGACATGGGTACATGGGTACCGGTTGAACAAATTGATGTGTACTTACCAAGAATACGTCGTTCCAAGATCGATACCGATTACAGTTCCTACATCTTTTTTATCAGCTTTTTCATCTTTCTTGTCTTCACCACTAACTAGGAGTAAACTGCTGGCTAGGGCCAGAGCACAAAATGTGCAAATCGACTTCATAATGAAAATCCGTCCTATAATTTCTTACAGAAAAACCGGTGACAATCTCCACTAACAAGAACACTACAGTAAAATTCTTGACGAAAAGTTCTCGAGCCGGTTGATATTTCGCTCGCTACCACGCGTGTAGCTCGCTGATTGGACAGCCTTCTTCACGCAGGCCGATTCTGATTGGTCCACGCTACACGATTTCGTCATTTTCACTCCGCTTTTCTCGGATGTCGTGTCAACTTTTGAGATCGCCACCGCTTGGCAAATTCTTCATTTCCGGTTACTAGAATCAGCCCTTCCATAAATAGCGTGAAAATTGGGTGAATTATGGTGCTAATATAACACTATTACATACATTTTATATTTTTTGAGAGCGTCCAGTGCATTTTTTGGCATGAAATAGCCTAAAATCCTGTTGCAAAGATTACGTTGTTTTCATGACAAGATTACGTTTTCGTTTACGGTCGAACTGCTTCGTGTAACTTTGGTGGAAGTTGGCCATGGGCCACCTCGTTTTCACACGAGCTCAGCAACCACGAGGTTAGCCTGCGTAGCTGGCGGTATTGTGTGGGTGCGAGATAAAAGTTTTGGCGGCGGAGCCGTGTTCCAAAAAAAAGGAGTAGGGACGAGGCGGTTGAAATACCGCCTGCCAGAAAACCCCGGTATTTTGAATGGTCCGCACACCAGTGTGCGGGGAAACGGATTGGTCGAGGGCCATACATATGTCAATCATGTTAGATGAGCCTTCGCGTATATTTCCCAATTTAGGGAGCAGATGGCAAACTGGAGAAGACGTACATGTAAAGTGATTGTGATTTCCGCTTTAGAAAGAGCATAATTGATGACCAAATTGCCGAAATGGCGTCTTTAAACTTCACAGCGCTGGAATTGTCTTAATTTAGCCGTAAGAAACAAAGGTCAAAGAAAATTAAAACACTTTACAACTGCATCTGAGATCAAATCCTATCAGGAACACCTACAGAAGAATAAACCACCGGAAATGGTTACTCAGTATGCATGTAACAAACCAGCTTCATGACCTTTTAATGTTAAGCCTAGTGTTGCAAAAAAAGATTTACTCAGTCAAAGTTTAGAATGATACATGCACTGTGTAGTGCTAGTAACCTTCGAGCGAGAGCCGAGAAAATAAAAAAAAACCTCTGTTCAAGCAAACTCACAAGGTCACGTTTCACATTGTCACGAGCTTAGGAGTCGTGTTTAGCCTGTCAACGCTTATTTCTAAACTGTCTCGCGCGAAAATAATCGGAAGTTTCAAATTGCAGGTTACTCTTTGATTGGCTGATTTAATTGGGATCAGCTAACGTGACAAAAGTGGGCGGCATTCGAAAAATCATGGTTCTCTGGCAGGCGGTATTTCTCCCGGTTCCGCCGTCAAATCTCACTCGGCTATATTACAACGGCTCCGCCGCCAAATCTCACTCGGCTACTACACAATACCGCCAGCTACGCAGGCTACCACGAGGTCAGCAGAGAGTTTTGCTGAGGAGTGTTGGTGGTTCTCTGTTGCAGAGGTATGGAGATGTCCTTTTCATTAGCTTTTTCAATACTCAGTCCTCAGAGACTGTGTTCGTCGAAAGACGTTGAAGTCTTAAAAGTACATAAACATAAGTTTATGCTCTTTAGCTTTGCAATAATATCTGTTGGATACAAACTCAACTGTAACCGAAAATTAGTTACCGGAAGTGCATGTAGGAGATTGTAACACTAGAGGCTGATTGCACTATATTGCATCAGCCCACATCATGGTGAACGTTGTGGAAGAATCCAGGGCTGCAAATTTATAATGAGTGGAGTCCCTGTGACTGCTGCTTCACAAATTTTGGCGTCATTTTGGAATATTTGGAGTCAAGTATCGCAACGAAAAAAAAACATTTTCAGACTTTCCAGCGCGTGTTCCTGTCATGTATACACTAGGGACTTTTAGCACCGACGGTTTTCAGGACGGCTACGGCGAACTAGATCGCGCGGGGACTGGGGATACAAGGCGCCGTCCGCGCAAAAGCCCGCGAAAATAAATATACTTTAGCAACCAAAACAATCCCTGAGTACGGCGTGAACGAAATAGTCGGAGAGACTCGGACACAAAACTAAATGTTTAGGGAAAAATGTCCCTAAAGAAGGTTCGAGAACAGTTGCTCTATGCATTAGATGAAAGGTTAATTACAGAAGAGGAGTTTCTACTCCTGTATGATGTGAACTAACTTAGATTTTCCTTACGAGCAGTACAAACTTTTTGATCTCGACGACATGCAAAGAATATACAGCCCGTTATCACGTCTAGCAACTTATATGAGCACGTTTAAATGCTTCTCGCCTTTTATTTTGATGCCCGACCTGAAGCTGAACACCATTATATATCAAAATTAAAGCAGCCATAGGCAAAAAAGGCATGTTTTGTCTAGTTATAAAAAAGATATATATTCGGTGACTGAAACATAGCAACAGATAAAAACTTGAAAGAAAAACGCACGTCCAAACGTTAAGAAACAATTTAGATAAACAGTATTAGAGTTATATATCAAAATGAAAACGGAAAGGACAAGCAAAATCATGTACAAAAATAAGCTCACTTGAGATGCTTTTCGACCGACATGTGTCATCCACACCTGTGAAAAAAGCGTAAATAAAGCAAAAATATCAAACCAATTCTAAAGAAAACTGGTCTAAATTTATGAAGAAAAAGAATAAGAAGTTGTTTTTCAAATGAAAACAATAAAAGTCAAGTAAAAGGTTAAAAAATACTCACCTAAAACTCCCGGCCCCGGTTCCTGGAAAGCCGATTAAACTATCCTCCGATTAGCATCAAATCCACGAATAATTTTCTTATTCCTCGGATAACTAATCGTGGGTTAAAAAGGAGTTCCTGAAAGCGAAATAAACCCACGATTAACTAATCCGAGATTAGTGTTAAAATAAACCGGTTTAACTAGTTTTTGGGATGATTGCTTTTAAAAAATATGGCGCGAAAAATGTTTAGGCACAGGTGAAGTAAAGGAAAATGACGGAAAATGAAGTGGTCTAGATTGAACCAAATTTGGCGTATTTGCGAACCCTGGGGCCCGAAGAATCTATCAGTGTTGGACTAAAAACTGAATTGTGTTTTACGTGAAGTTTGTTTTATCCACGAAAGGTAATATTTCTAAGCTTTCCTCACTCCTTCAGCTGACTCCTTCTCAGTAGTCTTCCACAAATCTTCTCTCTCAACAAGTTTAGATTTACCTTTTGGAAAGCATCCCTTTTGTTATTACCGGATACCCGGTTTATTTTCCGCTCGAAATAGAAGTTATGT